AGGGTGAGGGTAGGTTGGTAGGTCGTACGTTGATCGGCCATGGTGGGTTGGTAGGTAGGTCAGGGTAGGTCAGGGTGACTCTTTCCTCTCTATCTCTCTCTTCTCTTTCTTTTTTTCTTACTCTCTCTCTCTCTCTCTCTCTCTCTCTCTCTCTCTCTCTCTCTCTCTCTCTCTCTCTCTCTCTCTCTCTCTCTCTCTCTCTTTTCCCTTTTCTCTCCCTTCCTCTCTTCTCTTCTCTTTCTCTCTCTCTTCTTTTCCCTCTTCTCTTTCTCTCCCCTTCTCTCATTGTCCGTCTGTCTGTCTCTTCCTCTCTCTCTCCCTCTCTCTTTCCGCCCCATCTCTCTCTATCTCTCTTCCCACTTTATTTAACCTCCTTCCGTCCCCTCTTTTCCTCTCTTCTTCTTCTCTCTTTTCCTCTCTTCTCCCTCTCTCTCTCTTTTCCTCTCTTCTCCCTCTCTCTCTCTTTTCCTCTCTTCTCCCTCTCTCTCTCTTTTCCCCTCTTCTCCCTCTCTCTCTCTTTTCCTCTCTTCTCCCTCTCTCTCTCTTTTCCTCTCTCTCCCTCTCTCTCTCTTTTCCTCTCTTCTCCCTCTCTCTCTCCTTTCTTCGTGCCTCGTGTATTGCCTTTCCCTCTCTCTCTCTCCGCAAATAAGTCAAAATAACAAATGCACAGCCAAAACTCATTTTACAAACAGGATAATTTATTTTCCTAGATGATGCCCTGTTATCAAACATTCGCAGAAAATAATCAGACTTTCACATAACCATAGATTCTCGCCATAACTATTTTGTATATAAAAAAAAAATCATTTAAAGATGCAACGACAACTTTCCTATTTTCTCATTTTCCTTTTTTTCAATAAAAAAGAGCTTCGGTTAATTGTCTTTCTTTGTATCTTTTTATTTTTATTTTTATTCTGTTCATCATAAAGAACAACAATAATGACAACTTCAGGTAATTCTCGTAATAATAATAAAAAAAAGTTCATTTTCATTGTTATTATTATCATTTTTGTTAATCGAAAAAACGACAACATCGGGTAATCGTTTTCCTTATATACTCGTCTTTCCATTTTCCTCTCCCCGCTGCGGTCCTTCCTCCGTGCTTGGGAAGGTGCTTGAATACTGGCAAGACCTCAAGTACTACTACAGGAGTGGCTACGGACACCGCATAAACTACGAGCAGGCATGCCGTCTAGTTCAGGACCTGGTGAGGACCTTCAGGTAAGGACGGCCAAGAACTGCGGTCAGGCTGAAGGTTTGGCAAAATATTGGGTTATGTGAGAGTCATATAAATATTTCTATTAATCCTTGCAAAAGATTTAAGATGGAATAGAATTAGGTTTGGCGAAATAAAAACACTTATTTACTTATCTGAGATTGGTACAATATTTTTTTAACCATGGAAATTATTCAAGATGAAAGAATATGAGGTTTGACATTTAAAACACTTATCTGCTTATATGAGTATTATAAAAAATAGTAATCCATCGGACTTCTTTAGCAGAAAAAAAACATTACGTTATTCAATATTATGCATATCTTATTCATTCATTTATTTTAGTATATATCTATTTTATAAGCGTGATTTAGTGAACCTCCCCCCCCCTCTCAGCTCCTCCACTGCACATCATGAACAACTGAAATTTTAAGTTCGAATAAGTTTAGTCTCCGTAAGAAAAAACTTGAATCAAAACAAAACTAATTTCATTGTTTTTTTTTCACCTACACGTTTGTTTTGCGTATCTCTGTGGAGATTTTAACGAGTCCTCTTTCCATGTAATCCTTTTTACTTGAGTCTAGTAATTTTCTCCGATACCCCGTTAAGCTTATATATATATATATAATATATATATATATATATATATATATATATATATATATATATATATATATATATATGTGTGTGTGAGTGTGTGTGTGTGTGTGTGTGTGTGTGTGTGTGTGTGTGTGTGTGCTGTGTGTGTGTGTGTGTGTGTGTGTGTGTGTGTGTGTGTGTGTGTAATGTGTGTGTGTGTGTGTGCGTGTGTGCGTGTGTGTGTGTGTGTGTGTGTGCGTGTGTGCGTGTGTGCGTGTGTGTGTCCGCCTTCTGCATATATTATATGTAAAAGTCTTTTATCATGATGCCTTTGAGCTTGCCAAAGGTCCGGCCACGCCAACGAACCCAGGTGCGCGTCGGACCTTTTTCTCTCCTCCTTGCGTCCCTTCCTCGTCTTCCCGCTGAGAGTCTTCCGTCCGAGCATCCTCTCAAGACGCGTCCTTCTCCTTCGCAGGACACGGGTGGAGGAGGGCAAGGGACCCCGCGGCGTGTTCTACTTCACCCACCTCGGCGCCTACCTCAAGGTGGGCTTCTGGCTCCTCGCCGTCTGCGCCCAGACCCGCTGTCCAGTGGGACTCACGGCAGAGCCTTTGTTCATGTGGTCCTAGCGTTATGAAGTTCTAGCAATGAGTTGAAATGTTCATGATCTTTCGCCTGTTTTGCAACTTGAGGAAAATAGATAAGACTAAGGAATTCAGTGAGACGTTAACTTTTTTTTTTTTTTTTTTTCTTACTTAGCCTAAAAGCAGAAGTAAAAATGAGAAATGAAATATCAGAGTCAACTTCAATTAATGAAAATCACAGAAAGAGACGTCTGAATCGGATATTCAAGGACTCCATAACCTAAATAAAATGGCTGCCTAAAATGCCAGCATTCTCTCTTCCTCCCTCCCTTCTTCCTTTCTTCCCTTCTTCCCTTCCTCCCCCCCCCTCCTCATCAGGCATCCTTCCCACAGCTAACAGCCTGAAGATGTTCTGGGACAACACGACGCTCGTTTCCTCCCTCTCTCCTTCTCTCCCTTCTCTCTTTTTATCCCTCCCTATTATTCCCCCTCCTTCACTCTTATTCTCCCTCCTTCCCTCTTATTCTCCCTCTCTCTTTTTCTCCCTTCCTTCCTCCCAGAACATCCCCAGCTGATGGCGCGCCTGGGGATGTTCTGGGACAACACGACGCTCGTTTCCTCCCTCTCTCCATATCTCCCTCTTTCTTTTCTCCCTCCTTCCCTCTTATTCCCCCTCCTTCCCTCTTATTCTCCCTCTCTCTTTTTCTCCCTCCTTCCCTCTTATTCTCCCTCTCTCTTTTTCTCCCTTCCTTCCTCCCAGAACATCCCCAGCTGATGGCGCGCCTGGGGATGTTCTGGGACAACACGACGCTCGTTTCCTCCCTCTCTCCATATCTCCCTCTTTCTTTTCTCCCTCCTTCCCTCTTATTCTCCCTCCTTCCCTCTTATTCTCCCTCTCTCTTTTTCTCCCTCCTTCCCTCTTATTCTTCCTCTCTCTTTTTCTCCCTTCCTCCCTCCCTACCTTCCTCACTAGACGTCCTTCCCACAGCTGATGGCGCGCCTGGGGATGTTCTGCTGTAACACGGTGCTCGTTTCCTCCCTCTCTCCTTATCTCCCTTCTTCTCTCTTTTTCTCCCTCCTTCCCTCTTATTCTCCCTCCTTCCCTCTTATTCTCCCTCTCTCTTTTTCTCCCTTCCTCCCTCCCTACCTTCCTCACCAGACGTCCTTCCCACAGCTGATGGCGCGCCTGGGGATGTTCTGCTGTAACACGGTGCTCGTTTCCTCCTTCTCTCCTTATCTCCCTTCTTCTCTCTTTTTCTCCCTCCTTCCCTCTTATTCTCCCTCCTTCCCTCTTATTCTCCCTCTCTCTTTTTCTCCCTTCCTCCCTCCCTACCTTCCTCACTAGACGTCCTTCCCACAGCTGATGGCGCGCCTGGGGATGTTCTGGGACAACACGACGCTGACCCACGAGGATATCAAGGCCAGGCGACTCTGGAGGACGTCTATCGTGGGCCCTTTCTCCGCCAACGTCGCCTTCCTCCTCTCCCGCTGCGCCGACGACACGTGAGTTTTGGGCCGTCTTTCGAATTTTCGTTTGATTTCAGGAGGTCCATATGATGAGACGGGTGTTTCCATCTCAAGAGGGGTGAGGGAGTATAGGCAATCCCTTTCCTTCCTTCTATCTTCTTCCTGATGTCGCCTTTGCTTGAATTATATAGAGTACAGTGATTGATTGTTTCTTTAGCTTACAGCCTCCAGTACAGTATTTAGCCTAATCAATTGCAACAGTATTCTTGCTAGTGTCCTGTATATAAGCAATATTTCATCTAAATGTTTTTAATTCTCATCCATTCAGCTAGCTTAGCGATACTTGTTTTATATGTTGAGCAAGTTTGTGAAAAGCGAACGACTAGTTAAAGATGTTTTGATAAAAATCAACGACAATTGGTGCTAATCATAATGGATGAATACCGAACGCAAGTGTAGACATTTAAGGGGGGGGGTGTTAATGTATGATCATATTAAATTATATATAATGTAAATTATGTTAAATTGTTGTCACTTTCCTTCTTATTGGGATTCTATGTAAAATTCACCTTGATAGCAATGATTTTTTCCCTCTTTTTCTCTCTGTCTATATGTATGTCTGTCTGTCTCGCTCTCTCACTGTATAATATATATATATACATATATATATATATATATATATATATATATATATATATATATATATATATATATATATATATATATATATATATATATATTAAAGGATGCATGTACATCACCTCCCATGACACGAACTTATGTGGAAAAAAACGTCTTGAGAGAGAAACAAAAGTTTATATTATTCAAGAAACGTAGGGATGTTACGTATAGTATATTGATACAAATATAGATATCGATGCGTTTTAAGACTAAACTGGTCATGGAAACCAAAGTTTCCTTTTAAAAATTCGACTCCGCATGTTTTCCCTTTCTAAATAAAAGGAAAAGTGTTATTATTTTGCAAATCGAAAAGGAGTCACGAAATTTTTCGTCGAACTCAAAGGTCAGAAGGATGCAGAGATATTCATTTTTTTTAATTAAATCACACAAATATGTTATTTAGAATACACTTATTAGAATAACCCACTAGCATATTAATCAAAATGGGCTAATAAGTCAATCTGAATAAACAA